AAAAGATCTTATTAATAGTTTTTGTAACTATTGTGCTATAAAAAACTTTATTTTTATTTTTTTTTAATTGTCTTATTTTTATTTCTAGAAGATAATTACAAAATTACATGTGTTATTTGCGTTTAAAGCATAGCTTTTGCGATATTCTGGAGTACTACATAAAATAGAGTATAAAATAGAGTACAAATAGTAATTCAGGGTTAATCATTTATTTTTCAGTTCCACTTAATTAATTCCAGAGCGAATGCGACGCGTGCAGCTCGTTTGCAAAATCGATTACTCATGCTCGCGCTACAAATGTACCGTGAAAACGGCGTTGTAATTTCAATCACGCGAAAAGGCGATTCGATCGATAGGTATAGTTAATACGGCCCGGATAGTATACATGACTTGCCGAAGTATCGCTATGTTTGCGCGAAGCGAGAATACATCTTGGCGGAATCGGCGCGTTATCGAGCAACGTCGACGTTCTCCAAAAAAAGTGTCGTTGACAAACAAACGCGGAGGGCCACGCGATAAAGAATCGCGTTTCTGTGGATTCTCGGTAATTTGCGCCGCAAGTCCGTCCGCGATAACGCGACGCACGCCTCGTCCCAGAGAAGATGCGTCCGCAGCATGGCGAGACTCTCAGGCGCCTGCGTGGCCGGGTGACGTCATTGGCGAACCGGGCAGCTCGTCGTCCACCAGACACTCAGTCTCGCCTCGACACTCGAGGAGATTGTACGTGTTGTTCCTCGAACTGCTCCAATCAGCCATCGCGGAAGCTGACGCTCGCGCGATCAACGTTGAAAATCGATTCTTATCAAGATTCTCATCAGCGGGCAGATCTGAGAGGCACGAGAAGAGTTGAAGCTGCCGGTCGTTCACCTGCATTATATACGCGACTCCGGTAAGTGAGACTTACGCAAGACTTTGGTGCAAGACAGATTAGACGTTGAGCAGAAAAAAAAAGAAACAGTGCACGGAACACCGCGCGAGAGAAGAAAGTTCTCCGGCGAGGGAAATCATTTTCCTCGTTGGCCGATTCGGGAAAGTTGGCCGCGACGTTCGACTGGGTCGCTAATCCACAGTAGGCCGCGTATATCGTGAACGCGACTCGGCCAGGAGTCGGCGATAAACACGTGCGGACCCGAGCGCGAACGGCCCGCGGACGATCCACCCCGTGCGTTTACGTACGCGAGGGATGCGCACCCAGTGAAGTAGGATCCGCGCATCGAGTGAAATAGGACGCGTGCGAAGTAGGAACCTTCAGATTTCGCCCGGGTCAATCCGCGGGGCCCATGTGACCGGTGCGTACATTGTCGCACGATTGATTGGGCTTTACTATGAACTCTGCTGCGATTACTATGAGAGGATGAGCTGCTCGGTGAAGATCTCTTGCGGCAAGAGCTGGAGCGGCTCGCAGCGCAGGATCAACTCTCTCGCGGAGGAAACGAGTGCGTGTCCTTCGAATGCCGCGGCCGTGTCTTCCAACTGCGCCGGCCTGCAGCAGGCCAACCAGCCATCCGCGGGCGCGACATCGACGTCGAGCTCGACGACCACGACGAATACCGTCACCACCGCCGCCACCACCACCACCACCACCACCACCGTCAGCGTGGCCTTCAACAGCCCTGTGATCACCACAATCAGCGGCACCGCCGTCATCGCCACCGGCGTCAACGTCGTCACGGCCGCTGGCGGTAATCAAAGGGTCATCCCACCACGCCCCGTCAAGTCGATCGCCGCGAAGAAAGGGGAGGACACCACGAAGCTGCTGAAGTATATCGACGATAACGTCATTGGCAAGAATGGCACGTTCTTCGGGCCATTTGGCCGCAGGAAAGGTCAGTGATCAATATATGTAGTAGTCGGACCCCGCGCGCCACCCCCTTTTCGCACCCTTGCCCCTCTCACGCACACACACGCCCCCCTCCCCCTCTGCCGCCCCCGTATCATCGCATCGTGCATGGCGGCTGCACAAAGAAATAAGCCAGTCGTGATCTATCAGCTCGTTAGGATTATTAATATAGTTGAATGCGCGCCTCATTTATCGTTTTACCGCTGCTTTATTGTTCAACCAACTAGAACTTTGTCTTTCCGGCAAATCATCGGGAAGCTTCGAGATGATTAATATCCCAATGAAATTGAATACAGTTGCTCAAGGTCGAAGATAATCTCTTGGGTATATTTTTTTCAATGCCTTAGAACATGACACGGTTTCGCGTTTAGTGTTATCGGAAAATTATGTTAGCTTGATCTATTTAAATTTAGATTGTTTGTTATAATATTATTCATTTGTATAAAATTAATACACGCAATTATTTTCAAATAAGTAACAAATTGTCGATAGTTTTATTTTCATATCTTGAAATATGTTATTGAGATTATTTCAGAATATTTTTATTAATTGTAAAATTAATTCAGAATTATTTAAAATTTTTTTCTTTTTATTTTTATTCTACTTTTCTTTTCAAATTGATAAAAATATTATTAAGATACAAGAATTATCCAACCGTCTAACTATCTTGCTGAATTAGAAGAAGAGGGACCAAATTTAATCAAGTGCGAAATTGATATCATTTTCTCTGATAATCTTGTACACGAGCCGACTGGAAGTGTGAAATCGATAGATACGAAGAATTTGCTTCTCGAGTTATCATGGCGTAAGCTTTTGCGCGCTCGATTGGGATACCCTCCAAGTGCCGCTGGCGTATACCTTCCGTAATTCGATACTACCTCGTAGTAGCACCGAAACCCTTGCCGTGTTCCAAAGTATCTTCAATTAACAGCATAAAGCCGTATATTTTTAGGTTTTGATCGATCACTCGCAAAGATTTTGTTGTTGACTCGCGCACGATTGAATCAATATCGCCAGTTCTATCAACGCAGCTAGCGTCGATCGATCACGGCTCATCGAAATTTCCTCCACGTCGTTCCGTCGATAAATTCGCTTCATTATGTGCTTCCTATCTTTCTGCAAACGACCATAAATCACCGAGGACTTGTTATATTGTATAGCCGCAGCTACGTCTTTAAATAATCTCTAGAAAATTATTTATTTCGAACTGGAGTGAAAGCCTTTCGCATAATTAGATGGGGGTTGCACGACTCATTCATTTATTATATTAAAATAATATTGACAAATTAGCAATTTCGGATTTATTAGAACTCGTTAGATTTTACGCGAGTATTTTTCTCATTAAGCGTATCTGTATCATCGCGACGAACGCAAATATATTCCGTCTCTAAATATTTAGCACCTCGGTGCGACTGACTATTAACGTGTCATTGTCCGAGGATCACGTCAAAGGCCACGTGCTACCTTGGAAACTTCATCGGTCGTCGCGATCAATAAAAGCGGGCGTGAAAAGCGGACGCGAAGGACCTTGAACGTGAAGAGGGCCACTGGCATATATCGGAAAAATCGCCCGTGAAAAGTATCGCGATGGACGACGGACTGTTCGGAGTGCGATTTGCTTATTCGCGCGAAGTCAGTTCCTTCGGGCGTGCTCATAAATATCGAGCTGACGTCATACATTCGTTCGGCGCGATGGCGACCTTAACTCTCTTTCGCACACTAGATAACTGTCTAACGGAATCGCATGGCAGTCGAGTGTCTCGAGTTAAATTTCGTACGTTACATTAATTTAGGTGCTCTTAATAAAGTGAAAGTTGAACAATCTTAAAATATTGGCTTCTATAAAACGCGTCGAAAAGATTGACAGCTATTTCGTATTTACTTTAATTTCTGTTTACAAACATCAAAGTGAATATGTAAATAATCACATATGTTTTATCAAAATTTCATTAGCAAGAAACGCGAAACAGTCTTTAGTTTACTGAAAACTGCAGCGATTGACCTGAAAACTGCAGTGATTGACCTGCACACGTCTGTACACATGCGATACATGAAACGACGTTTCGTGACCTCCTACGCGCAGTTCGTGACCTCCGCCTAGACACGTGCCACTCGAACAAATTGCTAAAACTACCATGCGCTTACGCGGCTCCATTTAGCGAATAATAGACGCGCCGCTCGTTGCTCGACGCGATCACAGTCGGTAATTCGATTTGCTCTTGATGGCACACGGCTTTTTGTCCGAGTATCAAATCGGCTTAATGACTTACTCGTGTAATGAATGAATGCGGTAGTATTTGATACTGATGGTAAACACCGTCAAAGAAGCATTATTGGCGTATTTGCAATACTACGATCCGTGCTCGAGCACGGAGAGTATTTTTCATGATCGTTTTGGAGTCAATATCTCCGAAAGTATTGTGTTTAAAAAAAAAAATGCTTTCATCATACATATTCTTGCAACATTGTTTTTCAATGTTATTACTTTTAAGTTGCCTTAATTTGTAATGCTTATTTTTAATGCTAATTTTCTTATATGTAACTCTCGAGGTGTTACACGTCTGTAAATAACATGTTGCGTCTTTTAAGATACGCACATCTTTTGATTGAGAGCTGAAACTATTAGCGTCAAAATAAGGAATAACAAGTGTGAAAACACAATCGTATCGTGTAGATATGATAACGCCAGTAGCATCGTCTGTAAAACTCTGCATGCTAGAGATAAAATATACTGATAAATATTGTTTTCCTTAAGATGACGAACATTAGGAAGGTGGCCTTCACCGAAAAACAGGTTCGTCGCGCGTGATTCATGAGCAGCCGGGACTCTCTGAGTGGGAAGTGACGGAAATCTGCATAAAATATACAAGTCAAACGGTTTCTTTTAAAGTGCGAGCGCGGAATTCGCTCTGTTTCGTAGTGATTAAGCCGTATTTTAAAGATCACAATGACTAATTTTTTATTCATTTATTTAAATTTTATTTTATTTCAATTGACAGCGACGAGGACAAACGAGTAATTATGTTCAACGTTAACAAACAATAAAAAGCGTCAAAATATGTTTGATAGATGAGATTGATAAAATTTCTCAATCAATTTCACTAATCGTAAAGTTGAGAAAATACTTCGCTGTATAATGTAACTGGACTTGACGCGCTTAGACATTTTGACAAGAGCAAACGAGTTCTCGAACGATGACTAGGCGAAATGTGCGTGATGGACGATCCGTTGTCTTCCGATAGGTTGATCTTGGTCTGACTTGTCTCGAGGTCGATGGGAGATGCGATCCTGTTAAGCCACTATTCGCGGGTCCATAGTCACGTGATACCCCGAAGAAATAAGGACGACTACGTCATCAACCAAGAATGACTTGTCTGTCCCATCTCTTTCCCCTAGCATTCGTTCGACAAACAAAGCTAAGTCAATATTTTATTGGAGTCGAGAAATTGGAGTACTGTCGAGTATCCATATAATTAATGAAATATTTATTCGCTCTTCAAGATTATCTTAAACATAGTGATTTATTGACACAATCCTCAGCATAGTTCGACAAGCGATAATTTGATTATTTTATGTTTTATATTTGAAATCTTTACAAAATTCTCCAAATAACGAAATTTTTTGCGCTCCATTCGCATTCTTATCAAATTCTTATCGGAAGTTAATCCGAGCAGAGGAGTGTTGTGTTGAATATAACCGACCATTATATGATTTATCTCTTCGCTTGCTGGACGTCGATATAATTGCAATAGTTCGGTTTGGTAATTCTTGCGCGCTCCAATAATGATAGATAACATCAGCATAAGCGCGATAAGCGCGGCCAAAGTCCGTCAATAATGCACGCACGCACGCGCTATTTCTCATCGATTCGCCAATTTCGTCCTGCTGTCGTGTGTTTCCGAACTGCACGATAATGCGCTTCCAGGTCGGCAATAATGGCGCATTTGACCTAGTTATTTATTCCGTACCAGCCCGGTTGACCTAGTTTCCTCCTGGTTGTTCCAATATAATGATATTGGATCCCGGACGCGGTGAATTAAAAATATCCTTGGTCTGTCCATAATTCACTTTCTGCCCGGATATGCGGAAATAATACTTTATCCATAAATCTCGATAGATTTTTAGACCAGAAATACGTGCCAATAGAATTAAATAAAGGGAGAGAAAAAAATTTTTGTGCGATAATAAGCGCGTTAAAGGATGACAAAGTTAATGAAAGATTATAGCAATAAGAAAAAATGCTCCGTGTAAATAATTTTCAGATACTTTCGGTAATTCTTGATAAGAGATTGTTTATTCTGTCTGAAAATTAAATAAAAACTTTTATTCGATTGCGTAAGCTTAAAGCAGATATCTGTTAATTAAGAACGATCGCCGTGTCTGACAATAATCTATATGGCCGCGATCTCGAAAAATATTTTATTAATAATCACATATAGAGAGGTGTTTGTACTCTTGATCTGTATATCCGTATCGTGAATCACAATCTTAGATTATTTTTTTTAGTAATGTTTTTTTAATCGGACACGTGGAATTAACGATTTTGCACCTGACTTAACGCGTTATCTTTTTCCTGTGCTCGGCTGATATTTATATCAACTGACGTAGATAAGGTTTTTTTTTTATTAAAACCGGCAACAGTACTTTATAATAGAAAAAAAAAAAACAATATTATGTATCTCGATAAAGACATTAGCGATTCAAAAAAGAAAAATTGCATTACCTCACGGTGTGATAAGACAACTATGAAAGTATCGAAATAAACCGCATACAACGGTTGCTCAATTTATGAAAATTACGTAATCATGTTTACAAAAATATTTCTCTGATTTATTTTTTATCGTCAATGATTACAAACGTACATCTTGAATATTACAAATCAGTGAAAAGTGGATTTATTTTACTGATAGCGCTTTCGAAAACCACAACAAACACTCAATCGGAAATCAATATCTGAAACTGTGTTTCGCAAAAAGATATTACTTT